CACTTTTGGAAGTGAGTGATCCACTTCGGAGTTCTTTGGGCATTTCCAAATCAAACATGTCTTCTGTAATTGCAGTTGGAAGAAATGAAGACGCCTGCGTACATGCAGTAATCTCAGGGCCAGCCGTTTCAATTTCACAACTTATCATGGCGTCCCCCATGACTTCTTTTAAGTAGTCATATACCTCCTCCCTTCTCTTATTTGTATGCATAAGTTCCCTGATAAGGTCACAGTTCCAGAAATTAAATCACTTATAAACACGAATAAGTTGAATGAGATGATTGCACTATTTAAAGATTCCTAACAGATCAACATAAGATGGTTCGGATTCAATATGAATGCTCAAAGTTCAAACCAATGGAATGTTTGGGTCATTCAACTTCTTCCATTCCGTGTGCAGGGCCTATTAAACTTGTAATATTCCCTATAATTCCATACAACATCATGCTTCACAGAACAAATTAAGAAATAAGAACCTGGTGTCTGTGACGAAAAACAGGTCCATCACTTTCTCATCTGGAGTTGTGGATACCTTAACTTTCTTTATCGTCAGCTCAAGTTCACAGAGGACACCCGTTACATCTGCGCAAGAAATTAAAAGCATGTAAGCCACCGATTAGTAACAAATATAGTCCTGTGCCTCTTGGAATGGTTTTGGCAAACCTTAACCCACAAACTTCATCTTGGCTCCTAAAAGTGGCTACTTTGAGATTGTTAGTTCGCATGTTGTCCCTATGAATTCTCAGCAATAAAATGAAGAACAAAATTCTTCATTCAACCCCAATTTCTAAACAGTTTAAGAAACTTGCAAATACAGAAACAAGAATCGAATGCCCAACGGAAAATTACCATGTAAAAGTCCTCGTCGATTGTAGCAACAGAACTTGAGAAGGAACACGTCAGGAGGCTTTGGGGGCTGCAATTCGGAGCGGTAGAACGAAATCCCAGAAGCCGAAGAACAAGAAGGGCAGGTCCCCACTAGCCTCTTCTTCAACAAACCCCACCTTGTCTCTGGACTCCCTATCACCCAAAACACTAAGTAGCACCATTTCCCATCCGTCGATACATCTTCATAGCACAAAACAGAAAGGGGAATTAGAAAAACACTTCCAAATTCAAGCACCCTTTTTTTTTTGTTTTCACAGAATTTGATCAACACACCCATAACCAGTTTCCCAAATTCATAGAAAATCTCAGTAACCCCTGTCTGGTTTAGCAAAATAGAACATACCCATCAAACTGTTTTGAGAAAATACAAATACAAAGATGAAAGAGAGCCTAATCAATCCCCTGTTTGGTTGCTGAGAAAACAGAAGAAAGAAAATTCCACACCCAAAAGCAAAAAATATTGAACCTTTACAATTTTTTTCTTCAGAAAGTGAGAAACTCAACCAAAGTAATCAAATTTCGGATTCCTTTCTTTCCCTGCATATTCTGAGCAACCAAACAGCATGCAAGAAGAAGAAAAAACACAAATCCATTTGAGCAAATTTACCTCCCCGGACAATGCTAAGACCAAAGAAGAGAATGATGCGACACAAGTCACAACCCAAGCCAGTCTTGTCCGGACAATTGATTGTAATTACACTTGGGTCCCCTTCTTTCTCCGCCTGCTTGATGAGCACCACATCCTCATGCAGAATCCCCATCTCTTCTTCTTCCTCCTTTCAGTTCTTGGATTTGAAAGTTTGAATAAGAAAAACAGCTGTTTGGTTTTTGGAGTGATGTTCTTTGCTTCTGCGAGACTTGCTGAGAAGACAGATAAAAAGATAAAAAGCAGATGATGAACAGAGAGAGAGAGTTGAGTGGTGGGGGTTCCTTCTCCTTCCTCTTATTTCTCACCTTCTGCTTCACTTGTTCTTCTTGTTGTCGTTGCTTTCTTGTCACTGTATCTTAATCTTCAAAGCTCATGTTTTTATAGGTCTTGTGCATATCCGGGCACGAGATTATACCGCTTTAGTGGGTTTGAATCTCCAACCATAGGTCTACTACGCTATTATTCACTCCGTAAAATCAAATGGCTACTTTTATCTACGTTTTTTCCAGCTCGATTTTTATTTTATTTTATTTTATTTTTTATAACTTGAAGGTCGTTATTTTATTTTTTTTAACTCACAATTCGCTTCATTTTGTCTTTAGAACTCGAGTTTAATCATATTTTGCTTTTTGAAACTTGAAAGTCATTTCTATAAAGCTCAAAATTCTCTCCACATTGCCTTAGATTTGTTAATTTCTTATGTGAGTTTGATTTGGGTGTGCCAAGCCAATCAATTTTATTTTCATCAATTCAATTTCTTTTAAACTAAATATTCTTTAATTGTTGAATGCTAACACATAATAGAGATTTAAATATATTGCACATGTGGCATTGGGTGTTGAGCCCCACATATGTTTTAGGATGCGACCCTATAAGTTTCAAGGATAAGAGAGAGTCCACAAGTTAAAGTGTAACAAATTTGAGTTGCAGAAAGTAAAAAATGACTTTTGAGTTATAAGAATAAAGTGAAATCAAGATGAAACTCCAATGAGCGTAGTTAAAAATAAATCAAATTAATATGACATCATGTACTTTTTTAAATAAAAAGTTTACCTTATATTTTTAGACAATAAGTATAAATGACATACATAATGACTTTTTTAGAATGTCAATAACGACACTTGTTCTGTTATTAAATTTGTAGTGCTCATATTATGTTGCACGTGGCATTTTATTTCTTCTTCATTTTTTTCCGTTGTGTTCTTTGTCCAAAGACTAAAATAGGAACACGAGAAAAGAGATGAACAAGGATTACAATGATAAATGGCGGTAAATATCACCACTACTTTAGAATGATAAGTAAAAATGCACCATATGTCATATTTTTCTAAATTAATTTTTTCAATTATACATGTACTTCAAATGTTCTAAACGATAAAACCTGTACTTAAGAATAATCTAGGAGGAGCAGTGTACGTACGTTTTTTCCAAAGCAAATGATATTATTTATACAGAGGTTGGGTTTAGCCATATAATGGACTACAGTAATAATGTTGTTCAAATTTATTTTTGACGATAATTGAATATAAGGTCTCTCACTTACAAATAAAGAGTAATATCAGTTGACTGTAGTACTAAGTGACACGTTTCGATTATGTTGTACAACTTAATTCATCACTTAATTGTTAGATATTTATTTTGGCAGTATCAGAAGATGTGGATGGCGTTGTGCCACATAATTTACCAACCAATTTTGATTTAAGGATTTAGTAGTAATCTCTAAAACAATACTTTAAAAATAAAATTAGAGTGGTAACTTAGTACAACAATCTAATAACATTTATCTTCATATATAAGTGAGAGATCTTAGGTTTGAATTTCAGAATAACAAGTTCATAACTAATTTATTCTCCACCCCGATATATTGACAGGAAAACTAATGAAAATGGCTTGAAAACTTTGAGTTTTAATGATAAGGACAAAATAAAGGGTAAAGTGAATAGTATCAGGTTTGACTTTTTAGTGTAAAAATGTGGTTTTTCGTTAAAGTGAACAGTATCGTGGGCTTTTCGTTAAAGCTCCCTATATTATTTCTTAAATAATGTCATCATTTTGGGATCTGGATCCCCTCCTGACCTTTAAAAATTGAGCCTGCTGAGCAGACGATTGTGGCCGTTGAAATTTAATCTAACGGCTATAATTATTATAACTTTTAGAGAACTACCTATTTGTAGTCGTTGGATCAAATTTCAACGGTCACGATCATCTGCTCAGCAGGCTCAGTTTTTAAAGGTCAAAAGGGGATCCGGATCCATCATTTTGTAATCCCAATTACAATATAATATACCCTTTCTAAAATTAATAAAGGTTGTTTTTGTTTAACATTAATTAAGCATTAGTGTGTTGGATTATAAAATACTTTTGGTACCAATTATCCATCATTTTTTTCCAACCGAGTTCCTTCCACCCCCAAAGGAGGAGGAACTCCTATTTATTTCTTTCCAAGTTGGAGTTTTTTTTTTTTTTTTCCTCCTGAAGGTCAAGTTGGAGTTCTTAAAACTTAATTAAAAATAATATAATTAAAATTGGAAATATGCATAATTTGGTGCTAATGCTTCTTATCTGAAACGTAAGCAACCAACAGCTCTATGACGTGGCATCGACCCGGTTCGATATCATCATTGGACCTTGTTAAATTAAAATGGTCGGAAATTAGCAATTTTAGCTGCCACCTTAAAACTCCCCATTATCTCATTTACCGAGAGAGTGGAGGAAAATATCCTTTCGTTTCGAGGGAAATTGGCGTGAAAGTACACGTGCGCACTCGTGACTTGTCTCGGCTAGCGTGCAGGATTACACGCGCACATACGGAGCGTCAGCCGCCATCACGTGCCTGATATTTTTTGTGCTGATGGTCCACTCACGTGCTTACATCTTGGCGGAGGCTTCAAGAAAACTTTCTTTGTCGAATTCCTGCTCACGTTCCCCCGCTTTGATTTTAATTACTTCCACCTAATCACCTTCTTTGAGTAGTTAGACTTAATTAGTGTTTTCATTCAACAAACGTAATTTGATTTATTGTTTGTTTAATTAATACAGCTGATCACTTCAAAAATAAAAGTAACAGAATGAAAAAAATATAACCCGATTTGGATTATTGCTGTGAATGAAAAGTTAATCGTACTCACAAATGTGCAACTAAGTAGTAGCGAATGTAGGACTATCGTCTTTACATCCAACAATAGTGTGCACCACTCCAACAATTTTTTCCAATGTTCTCAATAAGGCATTCGTTGAGCATTTAGCCGATTTCTAGGATTGTATACTTAGCATACATCCCCGCTGTTTGGTACTTTTTTAATTGTGTATTTAATTATGCTAATATTGTTATAGGTCAAACAAAGAGTAAAATTATATACGTATAAGGTTGAAAGGTCAAATTTATCAGACATTTAGGAGAAGGAAGGGTTAACGAGTCTTGTTATTTTAAGAAAAAACTGACTAAATTTAAACTTTAATAAAAAAAATTTATCGTTTCACAAAAATTAAACATTTTTGTGATCTTGGATGAAGATCAAGTGATAGAGCTGCACTACAGATAAGTCGATGTTGTTTAACTTTTGTTGAATTCGTGTGTTTCCAAAATAATAATAATAATAATAATAATAATAATAATTGAAAGTTTTCACAAAAAGAATAATTGAAAAAGAGACACTTGATGTAATTTTTGACAAATTACTTAAAATTACTTAAAACGTAATTGTGAAGGTCCTCCTCAAAACGCTTCATAGTCATTCACATAACTTTATTCTTATGATCAAAATTGTTCATATTGTAAACCACTATATACATGTTATGTGTGTCAAAAAGCCACTTATTGTTCAATCACATAAAACTAGATGATCGAATTAGAAGAAGAATTATGAAGGGCTATCTTGCAATTGTTGATCGACTAAATGATCTTAAACTTTCTTTTTTTTTCAAAAATAATCTTTATAAAAACAAACACAATTCTAATCACAAACACAATTCTAATTGATCACGAAATGTTTTTTCTTCACATTTTTGTGGAGGCAAGCGGTCCATTTCCTGTCGTTGAAATGCAAAAATCAGTTGTGACCGCTTGAAGGAAAAGAGTGACGTAGGTGCACGGCGTCATCAATCTTGGTTGATAATAATGATTTGAGTAGTTAATATAAACAGACGGCCAAGATGAGCTTGAATCTATGCGTATTGAAAATACCAAAAGAGCATTGGCAAGAAGTGCGCATATACAACACGATGGTAGGTAATGGAATCTTATTGCTATTTTTTTAATACATTTTGGAATTAGTTTATAAAGTTTTCCAACCAAAGTTTATAATTAGTTCTTTAATTAAAAAAAATTGTTACTTAACTGTTCTTGAATTTAACGAAATAAGCATCATTAGTCCTTGTCGTTAACGTTTAGTAAAATTTAGTTAGTCACACATGCATGTCCGGCCTCATATTCAATAATATATGTTCATAGACCAAATCTAAGCTACAGTAAAAATCATGGGACTGTTTTTAAACTAGAATAAAGGTTTGTAGACTACCGGGGGTGTATTTAATTGAGATTTTAAGAGATTTTAATTCTTTTAATAAATCTAGGGGTATTCAATCAGGATTTTAAGTGATTCTCTGAAATTCAAGGTGTATTCAATTAAAATTTAAAAAATGTTCATTAAAATCCTTAGAAATCCGGATATATTCAATTAGGATTTTAAAGAAGTTTATAACATTTCAGGTGTATTCAATTAAAAATTGATTTTAAAGAATTTGAGGAAGTTGAGGAATTAAAAGGAATTTGAGAGATTTCGTAGTGTATTTTAAGCATCCACAAATCTCACATCTCCCTATGAGATTTCGAGGGAATTGAATTAAAATTTTATATAGAATCTCTACAAATCAATTAAAGTCTGTAAAAATCCATGAATTTATAAATCCATTAAAGCCTCTCAAATTCTCAATTGAACTGTACTAGAGTGAAAGTTCATGAGTCAATAATGGGTTTCATGGGGACCAATTGTGCACTATTTAACGAAATGAGCATCATTAGTCCAAGTGTGTCGCATAGAAGAGCAACAAAACCAACGGTGTCCATAATCCCACGTTATATATACACCTCAAATTGGACTATCTATCTTGTATCGTGGTCAATGCAACCATAATATATATATTAACTAGCTAGGGTTCGGGTTCCTGAGATGGAAAGAGAGAGATAAAGTATTTAACGTCGTTAATAACGTGAAAGAGACGAGTGCTTCTGCTCTTAGCGTTGGTTTTTAGGGTTTTAACAAATTAAGTCGTTGTAGTTGTTGATAGCTAATAGCTAATTGGCACGTGTCTTGTTTGCGGGAGGGGAAGATAGTGACAAGGCAACTAAAAGGGTTTAACTTTAAGGGTGTTGCTTTCTAAGCAGTGGTAAGCAACCCACTTTTGACATG